TGCGGCATCATATAAGGGCCACTTTAGGCTCACAGCCACATTAGCCTGTGCTCACTTTCCCCTATCTTTGCCAAAACTGGCCCAGATATGGTTTAGGATAATTGTACTTCATTTGTGGCATCATATGCGGTCCACTTTAGGCTCACAGCCACATTAGCCAGTGCTCACTGTGCCATGTCTTTGCCAAAACTGGCCCAAATATGTTTGAGGATAACTGGGCCACATTTGCGGCATCATATAACGGCCACTTTAGGCTCAAAGCCACATTACCCAATTCTCACTGAGCCATATCTTTGCCAAAACTGGCCCAGATATGTTTTAACACACTTGGGCAACATTTGTGGCATCATATAATGGCCACTTTAAGCTCAACAGCCACATAAGCCAGTGCTTACCGTACCATATCTTTGCCAAAACTGGCCCAGATATGGTTTAGGATAACTGGGCCACATTTGTGGCATCATATGAGGGCCACTTTAGGCTCACAGCCACATTAGCCAGTGCTTACCGTGCCATATCTTTGCCAAAACTGGCACAGATACATTTACATTTAGTCATTTTGCAGATGCTTTTATACAAAGCGACTTACAATTGGGGAATACATAAAGCGATTCTTCTTAAAGAGGCAAACAGACACAGGACGTGCTTGTAATACCAAGTTTTAGGCATTGTTCAAATATGTACAAGCTAGAAAGGGAAGGAATAAAAAAAGAGAAAAACAAAGTTTTTTTTATTTTTTTTATTTAAGATGAAGTCAAGTAGCGTTGAAAGAGATGAGTTTTCCGCTGTCGCTTGAAAATTGTCAGGGATTCAGCATTCCGGATAGGGGTGGGAAGATCATTCCACCAGCCAGGAACGGTGAACGCGAATGTTCTGGAAAGTAATTTTGAGCCTCTCTGTGATTGTACCACGAGGCGTCGCTCACTAGCGGATCTCAGACTTCTGGAGGGGACATAGATTCGTAGTAGTGAGTGGAAGTAGGCGGGTGCTGAGCCTGTGGCTGTTCTATATGCAAGCATCAATGTCTTGAACTTGATGCGAGCCTCAACCGGCAGCCAGTGCAAGGAGATAAAGAGA